GCCCAGGCGCGCTGCTTCGACTATCACTGCGGCCATGGTGCATCTGGTGGCGTCTCCCAGGAAACTTGCGCAAAGCCAGCCCGCCGCATATCTTCCAGCTCGCGCTGCTTCTCGCCTGGCCTAGAAGGTGCACCGGCCATGTTCATATGGCTTGGCACGCAAAGGCAATAAAATAGGAGACCAGAGCGGGCGACGCGTAGCCAGAGGTCTCCTACAAGATCGTTCCAGTCGGGTTGCCTGGATGACCCGCGGAGCAGCGTGCCGAGGGCATTAGTGTTGTCGACAAACAAGCAAACCTCCAGTTCGCCTTCTTGGCGCCTCAGCACCCAGTCTAAGACGCAGATCGCCGCAATCAGCTCCCAGGTCGCTACTTGATCCTTCCTGTGGCGCACCCACTGGAGCACCGGTGGCTGGAAAGTGCAGGTCGCCCACGCGCGGGCGCCGGGCATTGCCGCAACCCAGCCAAGATTGCCCCGGCCAGTCGCGCCCGAATAAAGAACGCAGCGAATGCAGGCAACAGGCTGCCTGCAACGGAAATCGCGGCACGGCGCGCACTCCAAGACTCGGGGCCACCACTCGAGCGCCCGGGCCACGTGGCCAGACAGGCGAGACGAATTGCGGGAAGCATGACAAAACAAAGGTGCAAGATGCACGCGGGCTGCCGTGCCAAAAACTGCTGAGGCACCCCAGCTGAGCCTGCCTGCTAGTTTTCCTGCTTCAGCAGGGTGGAGAATCCCCGACTTGAGAATTCTCACAATTTGCGCGTTCCACTGCGACAGCTTCGCTGGGCCAATAGAAACATGCACCTCGGAGGCGTCCTGGGCAATCTCCACGTCGGCGCCGAGCGCGGTGGCCGCGCTCGCCTCCGCCACGCGCTTGGAAGCATGAAGCTCCCATCCAAGGATGTCAGAAATGACCTCGCGCACGACTTCAGAAGCGCCACTTGGCGATGCCAGCGGGGGCGCGCCAGCAGACGCGGCGTCAGCGCCGAAAAGGTCGTCGACGAAGCGCGAGAACACGACGCAAAACAGTTGCGCCAAAATTGCGCGCACTGCACAGCCGAAACGCTCCCAATTATATACAGACGCCGATGCCCCAAACGGGCACGCTAGAAGCTGCAGCGCCTGGCCCTCGGCCCCTGCCGGTTCCTTGGTCGCCACTGCGAATTGCAGGGGGGAGGTGGCCAAAGGAAGAGTCTTGAAGGCGTGCGAGCGCAGCCGCCTGCTGGAGGCAACCAGGCCAAGGGCGCTACCCAGGGGGGCCCAGAATCAGAGAAGCAGGGAGGCATAGAGATTAGTGCAGCCCCGCCCTGCCGATTTTCCTGCTCCGCAAACCGCTGCGCGGTTTGCGGGCTATTCAAGTGTTTCGCTCGGTCGGTGTTCCGTTAGTTCCGTCGCAGCAAGCGGCGCATTTGCGCGTCGTCGCTTAAACTCCGGCTGAGCCGGCAAACGTTCGCGTCGGAGACCGATGCCAGATTTTCGCTATTTCTCCTGATGTATCGCATCAGACGAAGTTATGGTGCGCCGTTATCAACGTCGTTGTGAAGATGGCGGCAGTACATCAGTAACCCACTTATTACGTTCGATATTCAGTTCGGTTTATCGCATCGGGCGACATGTGGTGTGGCGCGTCGTTATTTTCGTCGCTGTCGAGTCGGCGAATTGCTCTCGTTCGATGTTCGTTCGCCCCGCCCCGTCGCTGTGGACGAGGTGTGGGTGCGCGGTTACGGGCGGAATGGGAGGGCCCCCCGGCTCCACAGAGAGGGTCCAGGTATTTTGCGGGAGGGGGGGTGGAGTCCCCCCAGTCTCCGAGGGTGCCCTGGATGTGCTTTTCAGCCTAGCGGCCGTGAAACGCGCTCTGTTCAAAGCAGGGAGAGGACAAGGAGGGAGGAGGTGGTGTTCGACGGCGACGAGGAGCACGTATAACACCGACGGCAGGAGAAGGAAGTAGAGGAGCTACGCAGACAGAATCTGAATTGGTAACATAGGAAGTGAGCAATAATCCATTTTTTGGTGCGTAAAAAGGCAGCGCGCTGGTGGCCCGAGAGAGAGAGAGAGAGAGAGAGAGCAAGGTATAACGAATGCGGTTATCGAAGATGCCGACGGCAAATCACCGGCGCCCCCTGCCCTTTTGGAAGCGCATGTGTGGCCAAAGGCTAGGCCAAAGCTATCGGGTCATGCGTTCCCCCAGCTGTCGTTGAAACCTTTTCTGGAAACACGTGGGGAAGAGGAGAATGAGGAAGAGAAGGAAAAGGGAACAGGAGGAGGAGGACGAGGAGGCGGAGGAGGAGGAAAAGGAGAAGGTAAACGGAGGAGGAGGAGGAGGAGGAGAAGGAGAAAAAGGATGAGGACGCCTCTTGGAAGATTCTTGGGGTACTCTTGGGGTCTCCTGGGAGCTCCTCGGGGGCCTCCGAGAGGCCTCTCAGGGGTCTCCTTGGGCCTCTTGGGAGCCTTCGGGAGCTTGTTCGGGGCCGCTTTGGCCGTCTTCGGGCGTTCCTGGCCTATCTGACACCATCGGAAGCCGTCTTGGATGCCTCTCGAAACCGACTTTGGGCCGCCTTGTGGCGCTTCAGGGCTGTCTTGGAGGCCATCTTTGGCGTTTTGGAGGCCGCTTGAGCCGTCTTAGAACCCTCTTGAGGCTGTCTTGGAGGCCTCTTTGGCCGTCCTGGGGCCATTGAGGCCTTTGGGGCCACCTTTGGGCGATCTTGGGGGCCTCTTGATCGGTCTTCGGCCGACACCCGGAAAATCAATGGTTTTGGCATCTGCGGGCCCTCCTGGAGGACCTTTTGGAGGCCTTTTGGGCTGTCTTGGAGGCCTATTGGGGACTTCTGGGGCCGTCTTGGGCCGTCTTGTAGGCTTCTTGGGCGAACTTGGAGGCATCTCGGACACTTTGTGCCGTCCAGGAGGCTATCTTGGACGATCTTGGGCGAGCTTGAGGACCATCTTGGCCGTCTTGGAGGCGATCTTGGAGCCATTTTGAGCATTTGAACGCTTTGGACACTGGGTCTTCTGGGTGACCGGCGCGCTGTGCCGAAGCCCCAGGGTCGGGGGCGGAAAAGAGGGGGGTAATGACTAGGGGGGGGGATATCATGGCGGGGGTCATGATATTTCCCCAGATTTCATGGCGCCTCTTCTTGTTTCATTACGTCCCTGGTCCCCCCGCTGGGCCGCGCACATGCCGCCAGTCATGATTTGCACACCCCCCTCTTGGACACCCCCCTCTTGGCCGCTCCCGATTTTACAAAGAACCAGACATCCGTCGGACGTCCAGCACGCCACGCATCACTGTGGCAAAAGGCTAACAGGGGCGACGGATCCAGTGGCCTTCGGCCCATGCCGCCGCCGTGCCCTTGGCATCGCTCGGACGTGTGCATTTTTCTTTCGGCGAGGACCATCGAGGAGAATCCTTGATCACTTGGCGAAAGAACCACGCACGAAGCCGAACCAAAACAAAGGGAATCGACGTCCGAGCGATGGCCAGTGCCTAGGCTGCGGGTCGGAGTTCTCAGCGGTGCTTCTCGGGGTCTCCCCGGAGCGCGCTCGGGGGCCTCTTGGGGGGCAGCTTGGGGGGCACCTCGGGAGCCCCTTAAGAAGGCCTTCGAAGGGCCTCTTGGGGGCCTCCTGGGGGCCTCCTGGGGGCCTCTTGGGGGCTCCTCGGGAGCCTCTGGGGGGCCTCCCGCTTGGCCGTTCGGGCCCTCGGGTCCTCCCTCTGGGCCTCCTCTTGGAGCCGTCTCCGGGGCCTCCTGGGCTGGGCTGTTTTGGGGCTCCTCTTGGGCCGGTGTGGGGTCTGCTTGGGGCCGCGTTTCGACGAGGCGTAAGAGTGACCTTAACAGTGCGGGCAGAGATGGGCCCCCAGATGGCTGAGAACGAGGCAGGAGCAGCGGCTTGCGCGCCCAGGGCTGGTCCCCCCATCGCCCCCCCGGAAGGCCGCGCACCAGAGGTCACTCTTACCCAGGGTCGCTCTTGCGTGTAGCCGAGTGTTGGGACCCTCTTGGAGGCCCTCTGGGCCGATCCTGGGAGCCCTGGGGCCGTCTGGGAGCGTCGGGAAGCCTCTCGGGAGGCCTCTTGGAGGCGTCTTGGGCCGTCTGGGGGCTTTCTTGGGCGTCTTGGAGCGATCTTTCGGAGACCTTGGACGCTCCTGGGCTGTCTGGGCGGCCTTCTGAGTTTTTTATTGGCCCGTTTTGGGGCATTCTTGGGCGGTGGGACTGTCCCGGAGGTCCATGCGAGAAACCATGGGTGGTGCCTGAAAGCCCCTGGCAGCGCCTGGGAATTTCGCTGTCCGGGTCCCTAAGAACATTTCATCCCCTCCACTCCATCCGCCCCTCAGAACTGCATGAGGAGGAGGATGAGAAGGAGGAGGAGAAGGAGGAGGAGGAGGAGGAAGAGGAGATGAGTAGGGGGAGGATGAGAAGGAGGGGGAGGAGGAGGAGCCGAAGGCACGGTGGCGGATATGAGTTCTCGATTGGCTGCGTTTGGTGCTCCCTGCTTCTAGCATGTACACTCCCCCTCTACATTCGGTGTCTGCCCTCCGCCCCTGCACGCTTTGCCCTGTGCTTTCGCCTCTCTACTCTTTGCTCTCTACTTTCAGAGCTCTGCTCCGTAGTCTCTGCGTTCGCATCATTTTCTCAGTATGTTTACTCTCTACTCTGTGCATCCTTTTATGCATAGTATACGTACGTGTCTGTCTCTCTCATTTATTTCAACTATATATGGTTTGGCCCTCATTTCTATGCTCCATCTTTGTCTCTCTGTCTGGAATCGGCGGGGAACTCTCACCAAGACTCCGAGCCGGGAGCTTAGGGATCTGGGCTCCATCCGAATTGTGGCGCTGTGGCGCCACAGTCATGAGAACCTGGGAACATGGCCGCCAACCGAAATGGAGCCGACGGAACTTTTGCCAAAACGTTACAGCATCTGCGAATGCCTCTTCAGTGCAAGCATTGGTTGAGGAATAACAGGGAGGATGAGGACGAGGATCAGAGAGAGGATCCGAACCCGTGCTGGCTCGAGCGCGCTGTGCCCAGCGCGCAAGTCTTGCTATCCATATAACCCGAGCCTCTATCAGTATAGTGCGCACTCGTATGTTATGAAGAATCCGCGTGTCGGCGGGCCGCCATCGGAGTCAAGTTCCGCAGATCCAGCGGCAGCGTCGCCGCAACCAGCGCGATGGACGTGGGCATCCATGCTTCTCGGTTCCTTCTACGCGGCGTGTGTCGTCGGAAGCCTCCTGGTGTATGGCCTGTGGCAGGAGCGCATCATGTCGCAGCCCTATGAGGGCGACATCTTCACGTTTTCTGTCTTCCTGGTGTTCTTCACCAGGATCGTTGGCCTCGCGTTCGCCCTGGTGATGGTAGCTGGCACGTGCGAGCCGGTCTACTGCCAAGCTCCGCTTTGGAAGTACGTGGTCGTTTCGGTGCCGACGGTGGTCGCGAGCATCTGCCAGTTCGAGGCGCTCAGGTACGTGTCGTTCACGATGCAGATACTCGGGAAGAGCTCCAAGACAGGCCTGTTGATGCTGGGCGCGAGGGCCTTCGTGGGCACCAGGTGGGCGCTGTCCGGAATGTTCGCTGGCTTTTTCCACCATGTGGGGGGCGCCGCGGTCAACATTTTGAGAGACCGCTCTCCGCCCCTTCGCCCCTCAGAGCGCCTCAGGGGTGTGCCGCAGGATGATTTTCCCGGAAAGGGCTGGGGCCCAGGGCTCCCTTTTAGATGTTTATCCCCGGTTTCGATTTGATGAGGGCCAGCTGATTTATCTGCGATCAATAACACGGTAAAGTTTTATTCCCGGAAAGGGCGGGGGCCCAGGGTTCTCTTTTACTATGTAATAATGTCCCCCGGTGCCAACTTGAAGGAGGCCGGCGGATTTTTTCCCTGATAAATATCGAGGTCGAAGGAGGCCGGCGGATTAAAATTTGAGGATGTCTCGAGCGAAACGCTTGTTTTTGAAATCCCGATCGATAAATCACAGGGTGCGGGCCACTTTTTCGTGTGTTGAGGATGTCTCGAGCGAAACGCTTGCTCCGCAGAGTTTGCCGAGGATGTCTCGAGCGAAACGCTTGTTTTGCAGAGCCGACCGCGACGCGGAAAAGCGCCCCGCGCGAAGGAATTTCGATGATGTCTCGACTAATTCGTTTGTTTTGTTTTTTACGATTTCCTGGAATTTTGGCAGGATGTCTCGAGCGAAATGCACGACCCCACCCTAGCACGACCATACCCCAGCACGACCACACCCCAGCACGACCAGACCCCAGCACGACCCCACCCCAGCACGACCCCACCCCAGCACGACCATACCCCAGCACGACCACACCCCAGCACGACCCGACCCCAGCACGACCCTACCCCAGCAAGACCACACCCCAGCACGACCACACCCCAGCACGACCTCACCACAGCACGACCACACCCCAGCACGACCACGCCCCAGCACGACCACGCCCCAGCACGACCACGCCCCAGCACGACCACCCCCCAGCACGACCACACCCCCAGCACGACCACACCCCAGCACGACCACACCCCAGCACACGCACGCACGACCCCACCCCAGCACGACCACACCCCAGCACGACCACACCCCAGCACGACCACCCCCAGCACGACCCCACCCCAGCACGACCCCACCCCAGCAAGACCACACCCCAGCACGACCACACCCCAGCACGACCACCACCACGACCACACGACCCAGCACGACCACGCCCCAGCACGACCACGCCCCAGCACGACCACGCCCCAGCACAACCACCCACCCCCCAGCACGACCACCCCCCAGCACGACCACACCCCAGCACGACCACTCCCCAGCACGACCACACCGCCTTGGTTGAGTGGTTGCCTGTCGTCGTGGAATGTTTCGTGGGGTGTCTCGTGGAATGTTTCGCGGGGTGTCTCCTGGAATGTTTCGTGAGGTGTCTCGCGGAATGTTTCGTGAGGTGTCTCGTGGGATGTTTCGTGAGGTGTCTCGTGGGATGTTTCGTGAGGTGTTGCCCCGTTGGGTATCGTGAAAACGTGCCCATGCTCCACATGTCTATATCCCTTTCCGGGTTCGTGGGTCCATCATGTTTTTTGGGGGGGCAAATGCGTTTCGCGCATGTCCGCTCGAGGAAGGCGCGCCCCGCATCTCGGATCCTCCAAAATCATCGGCATCCGCAGTCGCACGTTTTCCCTTGTAACAATCGGGGTGCGGAGCATTTCTGGTCGTTGAAGTTCGTCAGAGGATGATAAGTTGTATACTTGTTTGGCGTGCCCGCTCGAGGATGGCGCGCCCTTCGCGCCGAATGTCTGAGGATGTCTCGAGCGAAACGCTTGTTTTGCAGAACTTGAGCGGCCTGGGCGCCCCAGGATGCCCAGGTGGTTTTGGGAGCCCCCCGAACACACCGTAATGTATTAAGGAGCGTGGCCCTGGGAGCGCGGACACGTCGAAATTCACGAGGGAGCGTGGCCCTGGGAGCGCGGACGCAGCGTAGTTTGCAAGGGATCGTGGCTCAGGGAGAACAGGCGCAGCATAAGTTGCAAGGGATCGTGGCCTTGGGAGCGCGGACGCAGTATCATTTACGATGGATCGTGGCCCTGGGAGCGCGGACGCAGGGTAATTCACGATGGATCCTGGCTCTGGGGGGAGCGGACACAGCGTAGTTGACTAGGGATCCTGCCCCTGGGGGCGCGGACGCAGCGTAACTTCCTTGTGCAATTTGCAAGGGACCGTGGCCCTAGAGCGTGGACCCTGTGTAATTTCGAAAGGATCGTTGCCCTGGGAGCGCGACTCCACATTAATTTGTGAGTGACCGTGGCCTTGAGAGCGTGACTCCCGCGTAGTTTACAAGGGATCGCGGCTCCGGGAGCGCGGACGCTGCGTGATTTACGATGGATCGTTGTCTGGGGAGCGCGGACGCAGCATAGTTTACGAGTGATCGTAGCCCAAGGAGGGCGGACGCAGCGTAATTTAAGGGAGGTCGAGGCCTTGGGAGCGCGCTTTTTCTGTAGCAGAAAATTGGCTGGCCTGGGAGCGCGGTCCCTTGCCACGTCCCGTGGCACGTTCCCTGACGCGTTCCTTGGCACGTCCCTTGGCGCGTCGCCTGGCACGTTTCCTCGCGCGTTCCGTCGAGTCCCGTGGCAGGCCCCGCGGCGCGCCGCCTGGCACGTCCCGTGGCAGGTCCATTGGCACGTTCCGCAGCGCGTCCCCTTGGCACGCCCCGCGGTGCGTCCCCATGGCGCGTCCCCTGGCACGTCCGCTGGCGCGTCCCTTGGGACGTTCCGCGGTGCATCCCCCTGGCATGCCCCCCTGGCACCGCCCTACAGTGAACCCGCATGGTAAGGATGGGCAACCTTCCCAAGGGCTCCCTTGCATCCTTGCCTCCTCGGCCCACTCTTGGCCACTTTCGTTGGCCGCGCCCCGCTCGGAAACCTCCGACATAGCCTTCCAAGGCCCTTGCATCCTTATTGCGCGTCCTTATAATACGGGCCGACTGTACTGCATATGCAGTTGGGTTCCTTAGAAGCGGTTCCATGCCTCGCAATGCCCAATCCCTTTCCGAGCTCGAGTGTCGATCATGTTCCCAGACAGGGCATAAGCCCAGGGTTCTCTTTTAGTTGGTTTACCTCCGGGTTTGACTTGAGGTGGGTCGGCGAATTTCTTTTGCGATAAATATCGGCGTCGAGGTGGGTCGGCTGATTAAATGTTGACGATGTCTCGAGCGAAACGCTTGTGTTTCAGAATTGGTTGAGGATGTCTCGAACGAAACGCTCGTTTTGTGTTATAGATTGTCTTCTCGTGGGGGCCAGAATTCAGAGGATCTCTGAAGTGACATGCTTGCTTTCATGTTCCCAGGTCTTGAGGATGTCTCGAGCGAGACGCTTGGTCTCACGCCTCCAGGTTGCCCAAGCAGAGGTCTAGCGCCAGGATTTGTTGAGGATGTCTCGAGCGAGACGCTCGGTTTCACGCGTCCTCGTCGTCCAGGCGGATGTCTAGCATGAGGATGTGCTGACGAAGTCTCGATCGAGATGCTTGTTGCACGTGTCCAGATTGCCCAGACGGATGCCTAGCATGAGGATCGGTTGAGAATGTCTTGAGGGATACGGTTGTTTTCACGTGTCCAGGTCGCCCAGACGGATGTATAACATGAAGATGTGTTGAGGATGTCTCGAGCGAGACGTTTGCTTTCACGTGTACAGGTCGCCCAGGCGGATGTCTAGAATGAGGAGGTGTTGAAAACGTCTCGAGCGAAACGATTGTTTTCACGTGCCCAGGTCACCCAGGCGGACGTCTCACATGAAGATGTGTTGAGGATGTCTCGAGCGAACCAATTGTTTTCACGTGTTCAGTTCGCCCAGGCGGATGTCTAGCATGAGAAGGTGTTGAGGATATGTTGAGCGAAACGCTTGTTTTCACGTCCAGGTCGCTCAGGCGGATGTCGAGCATGAGGATTTTGACAGGATGTCTCGAGCGAAACGCTTGTCCCCAGCACGTTCCGTAGCGCGTCCCCTTGGCACGTCCCGCGGTGCGTCCCCATGGCACGTCCCCTGGCACGTCGCTTGGCGCGTCCTTTGAGACGTTCCGCGGCGCGTCCTCCTGGCATGTCCCCCTCTCAATTAGCTCTGGGGCAGATACTATGTGTTCAGGCAGCTCGAGCTTAAGATCCAGATCAGTTCGGTCAGGACTCGGATGCAAAGGAAGACTCGATCCACAACGCTATAGAGCACAATCGCGGCATGGCACATCGCAATTCAGCACGGCGCAGCTCACAGCACAGACTTCGGCACGGTACATCAAGATCGATACGTTCAGCATTGCAGCCTGGCACGTTCCTTGGCACGTTCCGTGGGGCGTCCCTTGTCGAGTCCCCCTGGCACGTCGCGTGGCGCGTCCCCTGGCACATCCATCGGCACGTTCCGTAGCGCGTCCCCTTGGCACGTCCCGCGGTGCGACCCCATGGCACGTCCCCTGGTACGTCGCCTGGCGCGTCCCTTGGGACGTTTCCCGGCGCGTCCTCCTGGCATAT